GCCGTCCCTGCCCGCAGCCTCGGCGTGCGCGGGGCCGCGGGCCGGCGCCGGCCGCTTCACCCCGTGCTTCCCTGTTGCTTGGTGTTCTCATTCGCCTCCAGCGCGCAGAGGGTGGCCCGGGTCGCTCCTGTGCTGGCTGCCAGCTCGGAGAGTTGCAAGTTTCACCTCAGATTAGCGGATTTAATGGAGTTTTTTGGCATACTGCTATACAACTTAGCCAACCTTCATTTCACGAAGTAGTAATAAAATGCTCAGCGTAAGAATATGATGCCAATAGTAATTAAAGGCAATTCAGCTTTGTAATCACCGTCTACTGACTTGATGGACCACAGGATTTCATTTTTTGACTGTAGTGTTTCCATGTTCTTTTCTTGCCCTTCCAGGGGTTAGCTTAAGCGTGAAACATCGTTGCTTTGGCTGCATCGCTTCTGCAGGATGCCCCACAAGCTTGGTTTTACAGTTGTGAGTTCATCGGGACACGAAGATGGCTTCAGCGCGAAAGAGCTGATGGTTCATGCACCGACAGTGAATGGGTGGCGATCGCCCAGGTACTGCGGGGGGAGGAATGTGCGGAGTTCTGAAGCGCTGAGCTTAAAACGAGTGGGGGGTGTACCATGTGTGCTCAGAGTGGTTTACAGCATCCCAGACCAAACTGATTATAAAACCAAAAAAGTTTCTTTAATCCCATGGAATCCTTGTCCTGGGGGAAAAAAGTGCCCTGGTTACCACCTGGAGGCATCACACAGCATTTAAATAAAGTCTTTTGAAAGGAAAAAAGGGAAATAATTTTGTTCTTGTCAGTCTTGGAGTTTGCAACTGCTTTGACTTAGTAGTAAAAATTCAGTCTTCTCGGCCCATCCTCTAGATGTGTATGCAGTGCTTTAACATACCCATGCATGCGATAAAGTGAAGAGTGTTTCTACTCTCCTCTTTGGTTTCTTTTTGCAATATTTGTAATACTGAGTCAACCTGTAATAACTCTGGGAAGTTTCACAGTTAAATGTTACTCAAGTTGGAAGTGAAGTAATCTTCAAAAAGAAGACTCAAAGATTGTGTATGTTTTCAGACTCTGTCAGTATCCACAGGAAATTGTTCTGCAGTTGATGGAGAGATGTCGAATACGAAAACTGCAGTTGCTTGCTCACCAGTACATGATTTCAAGCAAAATTGAGTTCTACATCAGTGAAAGCTTGCCTGAATACTTTGCTCCTTATCAGTCAGAGAGGTTTCACAGACTAGGGTAAGTCAAAAAGCTCTGCATTACCTTAATCAGCAAGGTCTCAGGAGGAAATAACATTCATTACGCTTTGCATGCAACATTGATACACCATGCTGCAAGCAGTAAAGTGATTCCGTGCTTGCTTAGATCTGTAACAAAGCTGGAGACGTAGGTGTTAGAGGCATGGTGCAGGTGAACAGTCTTGTCGGGTGACAGCACACATTGTCTCACTTATGAGGGAGTTTTAAACCTTATCAAAGTACTAACCTGAGGAGCGAAAATACAGCTGTGTATTTGTACGTGTCCCCTGCTTACTTGTTGTGTTTTCCTTCTCAGTTATGTCCCTCTCTCGGACAATGAAAAGACTGGTTTCAAAGCACGAGAGTTAAAATCTGTGTATATGGATGCAGTTGGCCAGTACCTGAAGCTGATTTTCCATAAAAATTATGTCAATAAATACAACTTATACGGTCAGGTAAGCTGAGTTAAGAGTCCTTACATGGTAAGCTAGATGACATTCAGTAGTACAGAACAGGCATGGAAATCTGCTCCCTTGATTGCAGAAGCCAAAAATGTTGGTTGAAAGCTCCTGGATTTATTTTTGGTTTCTTTTAAAACACAAAATACAAATGAGAGGTTATAAGTCACTTAGAATCATGTCCAAGTGCCTGCAACTTATCCAGAACAGATGAGTCGAGTGCACGTTCCATTACTGCCTTTCATTTTGAGTTTTAGACTGCACAACAGGCTCTGTGCCGAGGACAAAGTACTTCCTCTGAGAACAGCCTTGGGGTCGCTACAAAGCCACTCTTGGTCTTTAGGATCTGATGTGGCGTTGAGCGGAGGTGTTGTACAGCCATCCTGATACAGAAAAAGCAAAGATCTGCCTCAGTTCTGCGGTGACTCTTTTCACTTCCATCCCAGAAAAGGGAACAACTGGTGACTGTACAGTGTGGTCTGTAGATATGGTAACAAATTTGTAATGAGACATGAATTACATTTACCACTTGGTGCTTTTCCTTGCTTCCATACCGCCCTGGAGACCACAGCTCCTATTTTTTTGTTATTCCAATTTTTTGTTTCAGTTTTCGTAAGATACAACCTTACGCATTTACATTTCGTTTAAATCTATCCTAGGTTGCCCTGGTAGCTATAAACATTATTGGAGACCCAGCAGACTACAGTGATGACAGCAATAATACTGTAAGTGCAAAGCATCCCTGTCTTTTTACTGTTGCTGCACATCTGCAGTTACAGGGTTCTTGGGGTAACGGAATGCATCTTGCTTCTGCTAGTTTTGTGCTGTAGCAGAGGTACCATGTATTGATTGTTTTGTATTTTTTTAATGTTGTCTCGAAGTAAGAAAGCTCTCAGAAATTGAGCCTAATTTGTGCATACAAAAATTAAAACATAATCAATTGGAGTGTTTGCATTTTCAGCCTCCCCAAATTCTCGTTTCATAAGCCCCAGAACATAAATAGTAGAAGTTGCATGGCTTACATTGATGGTGGCAAGTCAAAATTTCTGTCCTGAATGCACACTTGGTGTTGATGAATGTGCATTAAGATATTTTTTTTCCCCCCTACAAAGCTTTCCAGAGAGAAGCTGATAGACCACTACTTAGGAATTAAATCAGATGATCCTGCCTTAGACGGAACTTACCTTGGGTAAGGATATTTTCTTGCTTATACCCTGGCAAAACATCTACTCAGTCCAAAGTAGTTCTCAGTCTCTATATTTTGTTAGTTCCCTGCTAGTGAAAAGAGAAGACATATGCTTAGTCTGGTGTATTGTGGATTAGCTGTAAGTTTATTTTGTTCATTTTATATCTTCAGGAAACCTGATTGCATTTCACCTCTGGATGATTTGGCTTTTGACATGTACCAAGACCCAGAAGTTGCTCGGATAATACGTAGACTGGATGAGAAGAAGCGCGAAGCTGTCCGTCATGAACGCTACGATTATGCCAAGAAACTCAAACAAGCTATCGCCGACTTGCAAAAGGTGTTGTTGAAAGACTGTTTCTCTCTCAAGCAAACAGTGTTCCAGTGGTCCATCAGGGACCCAGGCATTCATGTGGAATCATAATGATTTGTCTATGTTTTCAAAATAGTAATTTTAAAATCAAATAGCTTGATTTGACGCCTTCACTGGAAATACTGAAACATGTACGTATGTACAGTAATGTGATTCCAAGCTAGCTTGTTGTACCACCTTCTAGGTAGGGGAACGGCTTGGACGGTATGAGGTGGAGAAGCGCTGTGCTGTAGAGAAAGAGGATTATGATCTTGCTGAGAAGAAGAAACAGCAAATGGAAGCATATCGCCTGAAGGTGTACCAGCAACTGGCGCTCCACGACCTTCTGGATGCCGAGCTGATGGTGGGCACTGTTATTCCTAACAGGAGGCTTTATCATGTGGGTGTTGTAAACAGAAGTGGCAAACCAACCAAAATAAATTCAGAGAATAAGAGTTGTTACACAGGTATTTTATGACAATTGCATATGGATTTTAAGTTTTCTGTTTTGTGTTAGGGAAATCCACAATCCAAACTTGCGTGTGGCATTTTATGAACATGCTTAGTTCTCCCTAAATTACACCACATTAAACTGTTAAAGTCTCAAGCAAATGACATTAGAATCCTGACTGTTTTGCATAATTTCAGGGCTACCCAATGCAGATTCATAAAGTACTGTCTCGTATTTTGAAGGTGTGTAACGGGCTTATGCTGGTGTCATGGCTAACCATACAGAATTAATGTGAAAAAATACAGTTTTATATTGTCACAGAACAGGAAGCTTTATAATCTCTCTACACACATCCACATAGAATTATTTTCTGATTGTTTCCTAAAGCTGCATCCAGTGGAAATGATCACACGTCTGCGAGTGAGGTCTGATATTTACTTGAAAGCAGCAGGATCTTGTTGACTGTCAGAGTTGTAGCTACGTTAACTGTGATTTTACTACATCGTTAGCCTCGCTTTACAAAATCTGCTTCCCTTTTTCAGATTCAAAAACCGCCTGAATTGCCTTTGGAGTCTGTCATTTGTACTGACAGCCCTCAGCACACAAAAGCTACAAATTCACCTCCTTGTGAGCACACAGAACCGCAAAAAGGAGAGCGACGGAAAGCAGAGCCTCTGCTGGAGAAGAAGTCAGCAGATCCCTCTTCTCCTGAGCCCGGTGCTCCCCATCAGTCCCCTCCTCCTTCTGTGACTCACGCCACAACCTCCAGGGAAGGGTTTCTCAGAGACAATGTGAGTAGTGGACCTCTGTTACTGCAGAAATCTATCACAGCAAATGATCTTGCATTCAGCCTTCGGAAACAGCAAGGTCTTTTGTGGTTATTCTCTCAGGTTACGTAGTAACTGAAATTGTGTTACTGAGCAATGCCCATCATTAGGTGGGTATTGGTCTTTCTCTTTCCTGAATTTCTTCGGAAGCTTTTACAAATGCTCATTGAGATTGAGGCAAAAGGGGATTATGCCTGATTTACAAGTAGATGAATGGAAGCAAAATGATTGAGCAGAGGTCACACAGCCAATGTAGTGGAAGCTGAATTCTGCTTGCTCCATTAATGGCTTAATAAATCTCCTTCTTCGAGTTCGTGCTGGATGAATCCACAGCAGCAAGGGAATTTATTAAATGAGGTTGTAGGGTAAGAGTCTTGGTGTCATGTCTGGAGAGAAGAAGAAAATCATAGTGCCTAGTTAGCATGATCTTTATGTTTTGTTGCTCCAGCTTTTGGCAAAGCCAAGGAAGACTTGTGTTGACTCTAGTAGCAGTAGTATTCTCTTTTAACAGGATCTTGACATATGGCTTTCTTTGTTAAATTATTATGATTTGCTGGCTTCCTGTCAACAGATGATTTCTGTAGATGTGTGCGCTTCCACAGAAACCATTTTGTGTGTGTTTTATTGTATTCAATAGACAAGGAAGAAGTTTTATTCACAGGCACTGATTCCATTTCTTCATGATGTCCTTATAGGAACTTCAATGTCATAATTGTAAACTTAATCATAAAGTGATAACTGCTTTGATGGGAAAAAATGCATTGAGGTGAATCCAATTAGTGATGAAACAACTTCACATCTAAGTCATTTCTAGAATAGCAAATTTTATCTTCTCTGTTAGGTTGAATT